TCCTTGGTCATTAAGTCGCGACCCAAGTCGGCACTGCAATGGGATGCACGGCATTCAGGTTCGGGTGCAGGCGATCTGACTGTGGGCAGGAGGTGTATTTCGGGAGTAATTCAAATAGCAACACAAAGCCTACAACACAGAGCTCCATCCATATGTGCATTGCTTGTACAGCTCCCATGCGTGCCCTGCAGAGGTGCCAGGAGCCAGAATGTGACGTTAATCCAGTCCAAGCACCTCTACAGGGCACATGTGGGAGTTGTAAGCAATGCACATATGGATGGAGCTTCCTTATACTTACAGCCCACCCCACCTCAAGCTGACACGCAGGGCCAAGCAGCATATTTTGAATGGCTGGTTGGCGTGAGAACTAAGGGTGCTGCGCTAGGGGGAGGCTGAAGAGTCTCTCACCTAGAAAAGTGGAATGCATGTGGCGACCCACTGAACATTGGGTTAGCGACCCACCAGTTGAGAACCAAGGCTTTAAACAATGTGGCATCCTTTCGTTCCGAACACATTACCAAGTCCAGTATACAGCAGATATTCAGCATGATATATTTCCCCATTGAGATCTGATGTGTTTTCAAAGTGTTCCTTTCATTTTTTTGAGCAGTGTATATAAAATTAAGTTTGTTTCAGTCATTTACAGTAGGAGTAGGCAAACTCTGGCCTGAACTGTGAAGCTACAAATCCCATCAGCATCGATCTCTAGAAGTTATGCCTGTGGCTTTCAGAGTCTTGCAAAACCTAATGAGGTTTGTAGCTGCACCACAGATGGAGTTTTTCTACCCTTGGTATACAGTGTTGCATGATGGAATAATAGTTAGTCAAACTATCATAGCAATACAAGGGGTATATAGAGCTTGGTACTTAAGTGGTTAAATCATAGAATCTAAGGTTTAGGTGAAAAAATGTGTACAGTAATTACATAATACTGTTCTAGTGTATGTCCGTCTGGTGCCATGCATTCCAATACAAACAGTACAGGTTGCAATCTGCTTGTATTCAAATATGTACTGGAAGGGCCTAAATGACTGCATACAGACTGAATGAATGGTTTAGAAATGTCCTCTCATAGTTTTCGGTAAATCTAAAAAGATATTGCACTAAATCTTGGGTTTAGCGAAGCAAAATCGGTAAGTATGTTTTTTTTTTTGTTTGGTTCATGAGAATACAGTTTATGAAATTGTTCAGGACCAGTGACCTCATTTAAGAGATGAACATTGATCCAGGCCCAAGTTGGCTGCCACCTCTGGTAACAAACATTGAACTCTTTAAAACATGAGATGTATGGAGGTTGTTTTGTAATTTGCACTCTGCTTAATGCATCATCAACCAGATTTGAATGCGATTGGTGGCTGTTTTCTGAATCCTGGTACTTGGATACAACAGTCTTTCCATATCAGATAGGCAGCAAGAAGCCCACAAATAGGTGTGTTTAGGAATCTGTCACTCAGAAGTCCCCCCACTCCGCCCGGATATCAGGCAGTTTTAATTTGCAAAGCTGCCACAATTCTTAGTAGTTTTAAAGCTAGTGCTCCCTCTACATTCCTATTGGAACATCACCATGATGGGCCACCTCTACCAGGAAGTGTTCAAGCATTGTCCAATCAGAATGGTCTGCTATTCAGGAAGAGCCAGGGGACCCAAAGCTCAGTATATCGCAAGCTAAAGCTTGTGGTATACCGAGACCGCCGCAGCTAGGATGGATCCCAACATTACTGTCAAGATCCACCCAGCTGCATGAGTGACAGTGGGCTCCGCTTATCTAAACGCAGAGCCAGCTGTACCCGCCCCCTGCCCGATCCGTTCCTCCAGTCAGCGGTCGAGGATCGGAGAGGGGAGGGGGGGAATCCCTGCAGGGAGCCGTGACTGACAGTCAATGCTCTCTGCAGGGAGATGATCGAGAAGTGAGCGAGCGATGGTATGTGTTCACTCACTTCACAGTTTCATTGTCACACGTCGGCTTGAACTAGGAGGATGAGTGATTTTCACTCACCTCATAGTTCTCCTTTAAAGATGCATTAATGGCTACAAAGCTGCATTCATTTGTGTTTTTTATACCTGCCTGGAATTCATATTAAAATAGCACTTTTTTTTTACACTTTACTGGTATTTACATTCAGTGACACATTCTGTATAACAGGTGTGTAGCTAAACATCTTGGAACCTTCATATATCAGATGTATAGACTATGAACATGAACAGATGGAAATGTAAGCAGAACAATGTACAATAAGATCTTAGAAACAAATCACTTAATTCCATATTTTATTGTTTTTGACAAGCATTTACAACTTTTCATTCATAGACCTAAAAACATAAAAATAGACCTTCTTTCAGCTTATAAAAGAAATATATAAGAACATTTGACATCGACATGTCATGACAATATGTACATATAACGGTACCGAGAAAAGCACCAGAAATTCCAGTTGTTCACAATGGACCATATCTCAGCTTGGAACGTACACCACAGGACTGGTCATCTCTGAATATCTTGTTGGGGGCGTACACTAGTGAACCGCGCATGGCACAGTATGACGATAGAATTACGAAGAAAGAAAAAGAAAATCTGGTCAGAAGCTTTTGCTCATGGATTGCAAGATTCACGGTCACACCAACCAAAATAAGTTGCACTAGGACTGCAAAGCGTAGCAAGATTACTTCCTCACTTTTACACGTCACAATGGGAACCATAGCTAGCATTGTGAATATTGACCTTATAATCTTATTGTTCCAGGAAACTACCAGGAAAAAAAAATAAAAAAAAACAGGAAACATACATTTTTCACTTTCCTGTGAGGCCCCCCAGCACGGAAGATCTTAAGAAGCTGTTTTCCACCACGTTATCACAACATGAAGATGTCAAACTATTTTCACAACATGAACGGGTCAACGTTCCTCAACACAATGGAGTTAAAACTTTATTAAAAATATAGTGGAGGTCATGTAGTTTGGTGAATGGGAGGAGAGGGGCAAACTAAAATTAAGGGCATGTTCATCCAAAATGGTCATATTGCTATCGGATAGAAGCCAGCAGGTTATATAACTGACCGACTTCTTGGGGCTTTTGATAGAAAGATATCCCCTTCGTCGTTCCTGACCTACCATTACCAGGCCCATCAGTAGGTGTCACACTCTTGTTGTGGGATTTAACAATTTAAGAATATATTTAGTGGAAAATCCATCAGATGGAGCATTACAACCTCTTGTGGCATTGTAATAACCATGACTGGGAGGTAGAGGCAGAATGTCTAGTAAGGACACCTTGTCGAGTCCCTGAGAAAAAACAAAACAAAACACAACAGTGGAAGAATTGACCTACAGAAGACCACCTAAAACTGGTTCTAGCTTCAGATGGTCTGTAAAGGGTAGTTGCAATTTGCAGAAACCTGCAACTCTGTTGCTAAAATTAAGTTCTTAAAGATATATCTCCCTGAAAAGAAGATAGTATATATATCTGCATCTTCTGTCTGCTGATCAGCTGCATAAAGGCTCTTCAGAAACCAATTTTTCCCAAGGGTGTTGGGTTCCTGGTCTCCCCACTGTGCTCATTGGTTTAAGCCACCAAACCCCAACATCCCCCCATTGTGTCCTCTAGTAATGTGCCTGTGGTAATAGCAGGGGGCCAGAAAATAGACACTTCTGAAGTTGTTTCTGTTCAACACAGCAATCAGTGGGGCGGGTGGCACGAGAAGTATTTACTATCTGTTTGCAGCAAATTATTTTTGGAAGCTTCATTTTAGCAACAAAGTCACTGTAAATCATCTCCTACTACAGCACCCGGGGTTAACCAGTACTGAGCTGCGGTTAGACACAAGTGCTACCTATTGGTAAAACGTGGCACTGTAATTCATCCACACTCAATATGGTTCTCTGAAGCCACCACAATTTTGAATGGCTCGACTTAGGTCCTCCGAGCATTGTAAACATCAAGACAAGGGTCCCAAAGGTGCTAACGGAGGAGAGGATACGGCTGTTTATTATACAAACTGGAACTCCCAATTTAGAATGCAAGAATGAAACATACAGTAAGTAATGAGATGTCCTATTGGAATGGTCAATAAAGTGGTGCCACTGCCACCATGATGGAAGAATGACTTAGAAAAATTAGGATATGCTTCTTGTAAAACTATGGATAGCTTTATTTTCCCCACGCTCTCTGTATTAAATATATATATATATATTTATGTGTGTATAAAAAAAGTGTGTCCTATCTCCTAAGAAAGACTAGATTATCTGCTTCTCTGAAGGCTTACAACATAAAATGCCCCATTATCCCCTGGAGTCCCTGGATTTAAAAGCTATAAATACAAAAAAGGAAAAAAATAAAGACCTATAGGCTTTTCTCTTTCAAGTTTTCCCACCTCTGAAGAGTTTGGCATCGTTACAATTTTTTAAGCTCAAAGTGTAAAAGTATTTTGAAGTATTTTGACATGACTTAAATAACCATCAAATAGGCCAAAACTTGAAAAAAAAAGTTAAAAACTTGAAAAAAAAAAACAAACACGGCTTTTGCTGCACAAATTCCAAACAATCCCTCAAAACACTTTTTCTTTTTTTAAATACTAAGCTATAGTAACGGAACATGTTTTTACAGTGATGGATGAAAAAAAAGGAATATCAACACAACCATTTTCATAAAACAAGGGAAAAGAGAAAAGTGCAGGGAGCAAAGGACGGAGCGATCACAACATAAGCCCCTCTTTTGTGCTATCTTTACAAGGCTTTCTTTTCCACTTTTGTACATTACCCTTTTTCTGTCCAACCCTGATTGTTATAAAATAAATAAAAGTTAATAATAATAATAATAATGACAGTAGCCCTGTCCCGCTAGTGACTGAAGGACTCCGGGCTTTTGTAACATGATTCTGCATTTGCGTTATTGTAACCCGGTACGGCTCTGCGGCCAACGTAGCTGCCAATGTTTTGTGTGCAAGTGTGCAGTCTAGAGGATTACATTTCCACAGTGCATGGAACGCCGTCACCTATTCTGACCTGTCAGATTTCCGTGTTTAGTTTCCTGGCTGGTACAAAGTCTTCCCGCTTCACCCATATGACTTCTTCGGTGGTGCTCTCTATGCTACCATTCATTCCAGAAAAGGCAGTCTGTTTCTTCAGCTGGGACATACGGGAAGCGTGAGTGCTAATAGTGTTTTGGACGCTGTTATTCAATGGATTATTGGACAGGGAGGTGGCCTCAAGTTGGTCGCTTAGATCCTTCTCCATGGAGCCCCCTTTGATAGACTCGCAGTACTCATCGTCGCTGCTGAGAATGTCTGTTTCTTTCACGTCTTCCTGCTCCTCGTATTGGGCCAGGTCGAACTGCTCCTCCACCCAGCGGTCTGTGTCACCACTGTTGCTCGTCTGCTGCGGTGGTTTGGGTTCCGTGTCAGGTTCAGGCTCTTTGTCAGGGCCTGTTGAGTAAACCGTGTCTGAGTCGATGGTGAAACGGTTCCTCACGAGGCGTCTTCTCCGGGCAAGAGATCTACTGGGAGCGGAGACTGTACAACAAAAAGGTCCAATCAGGAAGAGAAACTTTAGGTTGTTTTATAATAAATGTTGTGAACATTCATTTATATTCAACATTCAACAAATATTTATCATCTGACATATCCTAAAGTGTTCTGAAGGAAATAGATGTTCATTGATTAATAGCCCTGAGCTTATTAAACATGAAAGCAAAGGATTCAGCTCTCATCACAGATTCATGTATGTTAAAAAGGGACTGACTGATTCTATAGATACACATACTGAATAGGTATCGGTGGCAGTACAAACTGTATGCCTATCATACGGTAGGAGGAAAGTTCTAATAGAACTATATGGCCTGCTGGCTGTTAAGCTACCTCTTCTGTGAGCAGAGAGAATGAAAATAAAAAAAATAACTTGTTCCTGGAGAGCGTCTTTCCCACATTCATTTGTTTCAAAAAGAGAACCAGTCATTAAGCTGAACAGCTGCTGGGAGCTTCCATTGTCTGAATTATAATCAGTATATTAGTTCAAAGGCCATCACTGTCTTGCAGAGATGCGGAACAGCTGCACCTGTGCCCTGGGATCAGCATGCAGCATGAGGGGGAATCTATGGTGGCCTCCATTAGAAAGTATTTCCATTCGTGTTTGGATGCTGGGGCCAACTGAGACTCCCTTTCAGCAATAGAGACCCCCCACTGCCTGTTTATCCAAAGCATTCCTCATTTTAGGAGGCAGTGAAGCTCTGTAGCATGCATAGCACCATGCCTGCCCTGGATCAGGCATCACTTCTGGACGTCAGACTAAGGCAGCGTGCAGAACTGGGTAGAAGCCATGTTGACTGGTTCTCTTGAAACATTTGCATAAAGTGTAAATCTGTAAAGGAACTATTTTCTGGTGCTTTTGGAAGCTAAGAAACCCCTTGAGAAATGATTCCCCTGTCTATAAAGCATTTTGGAGATCAATATGAATAACGGTACATCTTGATAGAGAACTTGAAAACAATAGTGGAGCCTTGACATGTACTACACTGCTTTGAGGTGGGAAGATGAAAGTGTATCTACAGCTTTTAGCTTTGGATAGTGTTGAGGAACCTCTGTCAGGTTTATCCTGCTGCCTATTTCTATGAATAACAGGAATAATGTGGAAATCTTTCAATCAGGACACTGTCTAAGAGAGGATTTATCTTGCTTTGGAGAGTCCTGTGTTGGCTGAGATAAGAAGTGAAGGAAAATTACCCAAATGGGACACAAACCGCAAAAAGACAAACAAAACTTGATAGGGATTTGAACCATCTCCTACTCAATCCAAAACTATAAAAAAAAAACAGTTTGGGCTTTAGATATGCTTTAGCAATGTCATGTTGAAGTGTCAATTCTGGGTGGATGTTTTTGGATTGTGGGGGGAAAAAAAACCTCAAAGAAACATGGGAAGATCAAACAAACTGCAACTGTAGACAGGGCCTTCCTGGGAACTGCACCAAGGACCCCAGCACTACAAACCACACAAACCCCTACGCCTCTGTGTTTTTGTGTTGACATACTGCTGATGGGTGGTGTGCCATATTGTCATTACCTGCTCTATTCATGGCAGGGCGAGCACCCTTCAGTGCACACAGCCTCTTCCCCCCGAATGGAACGTACTGCTGGGAATTAGGTAAGCTTTCTGTTTTCAGCAGCTGCCTCCTGTGCTTGTCCCGCAGGATAGAATGCACTGCCCTCAGGAACTCCTTCTTTTCCGCTGGAGAACTGCGGAGAGGGGACGATATATTGTATAATATACAGGGAAGAGAGGAGCGGTGCTACTCACATATGTGCACAAGACAAAATCACAACTGTAATGTAAACGCATACCTGTGACATGTTGTATGCATGAGCGCCACAATAATCCTTCATTACAGCAACATATGCAGTCAAATATTTTATGTCAAAAGGCGGTGACCTAGATTTTCTGATCACATTAACCTGACCAATCTCTGCTGACAAAATCTCACTCATATGCAGAAGACCATTATCACAAGGTAGGTGTGGCTTATTCTTCCATGACCAGAGACGAGGGTTTATGAATAAGGGATGGGTAAATCCCTGATCAGTTTATTTTTCCTGTTAGCATCTCACTCATCAGACCAGGTAATGTTTATCCAATCTACTAATATCCAATGTTGGTGAACCCCTGTGAATTGTAGCCTCAGTTCTGCATACCTCGGGTGTAACGAGTGGTTATTTGAATTACTGTTGCCTTTCCACCATCTTGAACCAGTCTGCCCATTCTCCTCTGACCTCTGGCATCAACAAGACATTTTCACCCAGAGAACTGCCGCTCACTGGATATTTTCTCTTTTTTGGACCATTCTCTGTAATCCCGAGAGATGTTTGTGTATGAAAATCCCAATAGATCAGCAGTTTCTGAAATACTCAGACCAGCCCGTCTGGCACCAACAACCATGCCACGTTCAAAGTCACTTAAATCCGCTTTCTTCCCCATTCTGATGCTCGGTTTGGAATGGAGTTGCTGCCATGTGATTGGCTGATTATATATTTACATTAACGAGCCGTTAAACAGTTGTAACTAATAAAGTGTAATGTAATGCCCAAGTACCGTATATTCTTTTACGATACCGATACTGATTTATGATACTATGTACATATTACTGTTGTGTCTGTACTTTAAAAAGGAGAACTATGAGGTGAGTGCTTTTCACTCAACTCATAGTTCTCGATTCTGGGTTTGTGGACATATTCCAGCTGTGTCAGCGCAGTACTGATTCCATCTCTGCAGACATGTTTCTGGTATGTCACTATGGAACTGACTGTGGACATGCTTCTGGCCGTTATTACACAATAGATTTTCTGTGTCAGTTATTTTTTATGCACTTCTACTGAAAAGAGATTCGTAAGGGGCACTGTCTTCTTCATGGATAAAAAGACTGGCATATGTTACCATGTACACAGTTAGTAGAGTTTAAGCCCCTCCCACTTTAAACACAATTTTGCCACACCCACCATTTGCCGCAGCACGCCGCCTACTTTTTATACTCTGAGTGCTCAAGGCTGAACCTCTTTCCAGGAAAAAGAAAACCCCAAAACTTCTTGTACACAGACATAAGATATAACCAGACTGTTCAGGGATCATAGGAACAATCTCTGCTGCAAAAATACACATCCCGGTAATATCAAGCTGATGTTTCCAGGTACAGGGATTGAATCTCTATGTAGTTAATGATTGATTATTTAAACATGGGAGGACAAACTCCAGCTCTACAAATTAACTTTACTGGCGACGTTCCCATACAAAAGATCTTTTCTACACATTTTAACAAATGGAAAAAGTTCCAATTCTAATATCTATGGGCAGCCTCACCCCAAATCGATGAAACAACACTGGCTGAGGGGCAAACGCCTGCATGCCAGCCCTCGTCTGATCCCTGAGTACTAAAAACTCTCAGTTCCTGGTTTAAAGCAAACATTCAAGATCTTAAAAAGAAAAACATGTTAAGTAGGTTGAATAACCCAGAAGTGAGTATTTCCCAGCTGTCTGCAATCTCTATAGACAATGGAGCTGAGCCCACCTGCAGCATAAGTGAAAAGCCCTTTCTGGTCTCCCCTCAGATTCCGACTTCACATGAACAATTTCGCAGACTGAGTTTGTTTCAGCATCTAGTAAAAAAAGAAAAAGAAATGCAGGTTACTAAAGCAACTAAAAATAACCAAATACAAATCTCTAGCATTTGACACATATGAAGCATGGTGTTTACTCCTTTTTCATCCGCAAAGTTAAAGCTGAGCTCCAGGCATACAACTTCGTCTTACAGCACAGGAGACCTAGTGCTATAGCACAGGAGACCTAGTCCTATAGCACGGGAGACCTAGTCCTATAGCACAGGAGACCTAGTCCTATAGCACAGGAGACCTAGTCCTATAGCACAGGAGACCTAGTCCTATAGCACAGGAGCTTCTTTTTTCACTGTCCATCCAGTCTGGGGAAGGGAAAAAAATCGGAACAGAGACTCTGGCTCTATTAAGAAGCTGTTACCTAAGGTTCTACATAATGGATCAAATGGTATACATGTACCCCTACCGGTGGGGAGGCCCCCAACCAACCATATATTGTTGGGATGTCTTACTTTGGTGTCTCATCTCTGTACACAATGGGGGGAATTTATCAAAACTGGAGCAGACAAAATCTGAAGCAGCTGTGCATGGCAACCAATCAGTATTTCTCTGTCATTTTCAAATCTTAACTCAACAAACTGAAGAGAGAAGCGGATTGGTTGCCGTGCACAGCTGCTCCAGATTTTGTCTGCTCCAGTTTTGATAAATTCTCCCCAATATGTTTTACTGATTGTTTATGACTATATATCTCTAGGATTCTCAACATACTGTTAAACTATTGTATGTTCATGATTCTCTGAGCCTCTTCCAATAAAAAAAAAAAAAATCCCTTTTAGCACGAGCACTGCAGCATTCCTGATTGGCTCCTCATGCTGCTTCTCACTCTCGCTTGCTAAGCTCTGCTCTACAGGGGACTGCAAGAGTCTGATACCAAGTCAAATGAAGGTACTTACACGGCTTACATTTAAAAATTACATGAAATTATGTATTAAGGAATACAGAGCTGCATTAGTTTGGTCTTTTATTTATTTGAGATCTGCCTGGGGTTCAGATCTAGAGCTGAATTTAGGGGGAATTAACAATCTACCCTTGCAGTGGTACCTGCCCCAATAAAATATATCTGCAAATGTATGATCAATGTAAATTACATTTCTTATTGCCAAGCCACAGGTTTTTGCACCTTGTAAAGTTTCTGTATGCATTACCTGATGTAGTGAGTGCTCGCAGCTGCAAAGCTTCTGTAGGAATCATATGTCTGAAGCGGAATGGATCTCGATCTTCAAACATGGAGGCTCTGTGTGATCCACCCTAAAAGTCAGTAAAGAAAGACATTTCAAATGAATAATAAAACAAAAAAAGTAACAGCTTGTGTCTACTAGGTTTTCCTTTGGGGGAATTTAATTTCTTGTATATAGTTAGGTGTGGAAGAAAACTATGTTCCATATATGTCTTACTTGCCTAAATTAGCTCAACCACCAACAGAAATCTGTGCAGGGGGCTGCAGAAAAAGACCCTTTGCTCTCTGCGTGGAAGCAGCAGTTTCTCTGCAGTGGCCCAACATGCTTCCTCTACCGAGTCAGAACTAGAGCTAGCCAAACAGCAGAAAGCATGAACATTGCTGATTGGAGAGCTGTTGTTCTGACTCGCAGGGGGCGTGTCATACCGCTGAGGGGACCCATAAAAGGTTACATGTTAGGTAAAATTTCGGGGAGTTCTTTAGCGTCTTTTAATTAGCCTGCATCTCTCCTGGGAGCATACATTCAATATACAGGAAAATACATCACTTACAAGCTTCTTCTTTTGTTTGGAGCTGTCCTTGTACACCAACACGACCGCAGCCTTAAATACTGGAAAACAGAATACAGATTTATTTGGTTTCATGTGTTGTCAGTAAAGGACAGGAAAATAAGAACTTCAGCAGGGAAAATTTATGTTGGAAGCTCAGTGATGTCAGTCGTACTTTACTAAACTGACCAAGTACACCCCTTCATGGAAATGGCATTCCCTGATGGCAGTGGCCTCTTTCAGCAGGATAATGCGCCCTGCCACACTGCAAACATGGTTCAAGAATGGTTTGGGGAACACAACAACGAGTTTGAGGCGTTGACTTGTCCTCCAAATTCTCCAGCTCTCAATCCAATCAAGCATCTGTAGCATGTGCTGGAAAAACGAGAATAATCCATGGAGGCCGCACCTCACAACATACGAGACTTAAAGGATCTGTTACTGGCGGCTTTGTGCCAGATATATACCTTTGTGCCAGATATAGCATACCTTCAGAGGTCTAGTGGAGTCCATGTCTCGATGGGTTGTTTTAGTGGCAAAAGGGGGACCAATATTAGGTGGGTGGTCAGAATGTTATGGCTGATCACTGTATATTCAGGTGTTTATGCTATCTGTATTTATAACGCAGTTCATTTTAATAAATACGAAGCTTCATAAAAAATGTTGTATGTTTCACTTTGAATAAGAATGGTTGTTATGGAGCAATACAGAAAGTTCTCATCTTAGAAAAGATTTAAAAAATTACTTTTTTTTAAATTTGGAATAATGTGACCAAGGGATCTCAACTAGTTGAAGATCTCCAAAGTTGTCCCATCAGAGATCCCTGCCTCACCTCCTATTGGTTCAATAGTTACACCTCCTGACTTGCTCAACAAATGTTTCCATGGATTTTCCATTTGAATAAAGTTTATTTAAAAATTCAACATTTTACGGACAATGACGATTATACGGACAAATGACTCCTAAGGCTAGGTCCACACCTAGGCGACTGAGCTAGCGACTGTTCTTTGAAAACTGCGCAGTTGTGCGTTTTTCAATGCATAGAGAGGTCTATAGGACCTCTGTATGTGACAACCGCCCGAAACTAGCTCCTGTACCTTTTTGCGCGGCAGGCGATTTCATCCGAGCGACAAACCGCAAAAGGTGTGAACAGCATCCACTGACTAATGCAAATCTGTGTTTTGCGCGATATCGGGTGACTCAAACCACGCAATAAATCGTCTAGGTATGAACCTAGCCTAAAGCGTCAAACCAACTTCTCTAGAGTAGGTCATCACAATGAGTAGTTTTCTCTATGTAGAATCTTTATGCGTTTGAGTGACAGCTGATGTTTATAGATAAATCATCATCCTAGTATGTTCTATAGCAATGACCATACTAATAAATATGGATTATATATGGTATAATCATGAACTGTAATGACCTCATGTGTTATTATTATTATACAGGGTTTATATAGCACCAACAGTTTGCGCAGCGCTTTACAATATAAGGAAGACATTACAATCACAATACAATTCAAGACAAGATGGTTAGGCGGGCCCTGCCCCTGAGGGCTTACAATCTAAAAGGGAGGGGCAAGTGATGCATGAGGAGGTAGCTGTGTGGGCATGAATTGTTTGAGAACATGATGATTGAGTGGTTAGGCTGAGGTGGAATATGCTTCCATGAAGAGATGAGTCTTTAGTGATCGCCTAAAGGCAGTTAGAGTGGGAGAGACGCACAGGTTGGGGTAAAGAGTTCCAGAGGATGGGAGAGACTCGAGAAGTCCTGGAGGCACGCATGGAAGGAGTTGACGAGGGAGCTGGAAAGCAGGTGGTCTTTTGGAGAGTGGAGGGGACGGCTAGGGTGATACTTTAAAACAAGGTTTGAGATATAACCGGGGGCAGAGTTGTGGATGGCTTTGTAAGTTGTTGTTAATATTTTAAATGTTATCCTTTGTGGCGAGTGGAAGCCAGTTGGGGGGATTGACAGAGAGGGGAGGGGGGGGGGGCAGAAACTGAGCGGTTGGTTAGGTGAATGAGTCTGGCAGCTGCATTCATGATAGACTGAAGGGGGAATAGCCTGTGTAGAGGTAGGCCAATGAGGAGGGAGTTGCAATAGTCAATAGTGTTATGTAAAGTATGTTTATTTAAGTAGCAAAGACTTAGGGGCAGATTTTAAAAAGAAGTGAATCTGACATTTACTGCAGGTGAATCATCTAGGCGCATGTGTTTTAAACGATTCACCAATTCAGCAATTGATTCACCACCAGTTAATCTTTAGTGAAAGTCACATTTGCAGCTTTATAAATATGCTCATGAAAAGTATATTTGAAGCTGAAAGTTTTCCTCCTATTTTCGATGGAATAGAGAACGTTTAAAGCGCCAAATCAGATTTTATTTTTCTCTGTATCCCAATGGGAGATTATCCTTTACTTCCCATCCAGTAGAGTCACCAGGATATGTGAAGAAATCTCTCCAAAGGGAGAGTAACTTCCCACGTAGCCAGCTGTTAGGTTAGAAGAACCTATCTATTCCTGATCTGGCGAAAACCAAGAATTGTGGATCTTCCCTCACTTTTAGTCTCAAACATTGAGCACCAGGACAAATATATAGAGGGTAAATCTCTCAGCAAGGACGCACACTGCAAATAAAAGCTGACAGGCGTTTAACCCCTTGCAGCTCCATCCAAAACAAAAACAAACAAAAAAAGAGACAGTTTTGGCTTTAGAGGCACTTTACAATTCATTGGTATAGTGTAATGTACTGAACATGTCGGGCTTACCGAAGGTTGCCAATTCCGGGTCTTTTTTCCACTTCCCGAGTGATGTCGGAGGGTTCAGCCACACAACGGTGCTGTGCAGTAATAAATCTCCCATGGATAAATCTGCCACCTACAACACAGAGAAGAAATCAGCTGTTAAAGGGTATTATGTGTACAGGTTAGCCAAGCATAAATGGGATTCTGGCCTTCCAAACTTTGTCACTGTCCTTACTGTCATCTATTTAAGGCTAAGCAAAGGCTTATTATAATGTTAAATGGAAATCGGCTGTGAATAGGACAATATCTCCAGAGGAGAACATGTGGCCAGCCCAACCCTAAAGATATAGACTCTGGATGATACAAGAGGTACAGGACGGAGGACAAGCCACAATGAGGGGGGGTCATAGTAAAGGCTTTCATTGTTAAGCCTGGTTACTGCTGTGACTACCTCAACCTCTCTACAAAAACCAATGTTTAGAGCGAGACTTGACTGAGTTTTCATTGAACATGGATTTAGACTTAATTAGATGGACAGTAAATAGAGGTGGGGGAATGAATGGACAGGCATTTCCTTCAGAATGACAGGAGAGACATCCTCAAACCCACTGGGATCTGCCACACTGTAACCTGCGACTTGACTGGTAAACGAAAATGTCACACACGGGTGATGTACTAGATACACATTTATTTTCAAGAACAATGTCAAATCTCTGAACAATAGAAGCACTTCTGTAGAGCTTGTTATGGCCTTCTATCACGGCCCTGTACAGCTCATTCCTCACTCGAGTGATGTCGATTTTGGGGAGATTCATCAGAACTGAAAGTGAGAGAACAAAATCTAAAATATTGGCATGTCATCAGAAAAGGAAGACAAATCTTCCAATAGGTCACCTGTTCTGGTGACAACGATCTAAGATGGGTTTTCCTTTATTTTAGAGAGATTTCCTCTTACTTCCTGGGGTGTCCACAGGACAGAAAGTGGATTCTCCACAGTGGTACACAGACAGGGTTCTAACTATTATTTACTATATCCAAAAGCTAAAAAATATACTTCAACCATTCACTTCAGTCCCCTGCTAGTTGTCATCATGATGTAAAGTCCTTATCACAGTCAGAAAAAGCCCTAGATAATTTAACCAGCAGCCCATTAAAGCCCATCTCCAGAAACATTTTCACACTCCCTCTAACTGATCACTAGATGAAAAATGACCCCGGAATGGGGTTTTAAATTACCAGTGTGGCTAACCCAATGCAGCCCAGAAAACAAGAAGCCCCCATTCACACTTGTGGACCATGACATCCCAAGCTTTGTTTTTGCTTGCTTGTCGCGCACCACAAATGCAGCAAAGAAGCTCATGCACCTTTTTGAGCTTAGTGCGTTTTTACCTCTTTGATTTCCCCGGTCTGTTCTGCTATGAGCTGGTCAAACACAGCGCCATACTCTTCATGGATCTTCTGCATCTCGTTAATATGACTGGCCACTTTGTTCATGGTTTTGATTGCCACTGTGGACAGCAAAAAGCACTGCGGTTAGCGAGAAAGTTACAGGTTCTCTTGGTTTGGTTTCCTACCAATAAAAGCATGCATTTGCCCCGAGTCTTTTGTCTGCTCTCACTAGATGTACCAAGTGATTCACAGCTCCTGACAGAGCTTAATCCATGTCTGCCAGCTATGAAGATATGAAACATTCATTACTATACATGAAAGTGTGTCAAGGTCGCCTTGTCCACTTTGAGGTCTGTCCATCACTCTGTACTGGAAGAGCTCAGTAATTACACCAAGTGAGCTTGAAATAGACTCGTATTTCCATTCTGAAGCTCGAACACAAAATCGTACTTGTGCTGATTATTCATCACAATAGAGAACAAGTGACAATATACATCTAAACTCTGCCAATAGACTGGGAGGAAATTAGGTCAGAGATGGCATGCAAGTGGGTGGGCTGGGCTGGTAATAGCATTGCCTGCCTATCATGCGTCACAATGGTGGATGGCTTCCTCCATAGAAAGAATAGGATTAGTGATTTTCTGTGCATGTGCAGAAGCTGCCTTCCCAATTGGGAGGCTTTGCAGTGGTGGCTGTGAGACTCCCAGCAGGCTTTGCAACCAATCTAAACTGAATGCTAATGCCAGATCAGTACTAGATGGATTTTGATTGGTTGCTATGGGCTTAACTATTAATCCACTGCACTATAGCAACCAATGAGATTCAGACTTTTACTCCAATTGTCCTTTTCCTCTGCAGAATTGAACCTCATTGGTTGCTGTGATGCAAAAAACTAATGTTCTTACATGCCAGGAAAGAAATATGGGTGTTGCCAATCATGGCTTGTTATTAATTGGTGCAAGTTCTGACAGCAGTGTTAGTCTAAGATCCCGACTTCCCAGGCTACCTACTTGTTTCAAGTCAGTACACAATAAGTGGGGAAGCAAGGATGAGAATGACTGCCCTGAAGTATGTGCCTTAAAAAAAATTGGCAATGGCAGCCCCCTCATTTCTATTCTGATACGTTCACATTTTGACGGACACTTAGAGACACTGTCACCTTTCCCATGCAAAGCAGGAAGACTGTCTCTGGAAAGGACATCGTCCAACCCTTATAATACTTACCTTACCATTGCTCCCTTGCAGCTCCTTGTTCTTTTGAAACCAGCATGGAGATCAACTGAGTCCTCAACCCATGGGAGCCATGATGTTGCTTCTCTAATCATGTGACACTGCTCAGACCTAGTGATTGGCCGCTGGGCTCTGGCATTGCCACAAGGAACAGGCCAAATGCTCCTCCATACATAGAAGTGCAGGGTATTCTTGTCAGCTGTCATGCATATATGGGGGTTAAGGGGGGTCCATTCAAGAAACCCATCACCTTGCCTTGCATGGTCAAGGTGACCGTGTCTTTTTAATATTAAATGAGAACTACTACTAGGAGAAATCCACTATGAATAGTTCAAAACAAAATGAATTATTCAATAAGGGAGAAAAAAAAGAGCAATGCTAACAACATTTTAGATCTGATGGACGCCAATCAGATATCCTTGAACGCTCTCCTTCCCTTTAGAGAAAGAACATGCCGTCTACATAGACAGAGACATTACTTGCAATATATATTCATGGGGACAAAGTACAATTTAATGGAAACTAATATTTCCCTGACTGAATTCATAGATCAAGGACAAGCATGATGTCATGTTATACCGCAAGGATGGCAGACATTTGTTATGAAATCTGGAGGAAAGGAAATAAGAGCATGTTTCCAGAGCAACGTGTTTTATTTTCTCCCCAGTGATGGAAATATGATGGCTGAAACCTGTTTAAGCTGCTGTGGGTAAAACTGCTTTGTTATCGAATGTGGCCCCAAACAAGCAGAGGTGGTACTAATGGGGCCTAGAATTCTACCCCCTCCCCCACCCCTCAGATCAAATGTACTGACTGAAATCCATAAAAACTAATGCACAATTATTATTTTTTTGTTCATTGATCCCCAACACATGTTCACAATGTAACATTTTACCCCCCTACCCTAAGAACCGTAGATTGCCCAGGCCCGTGCTACAACCATCCAAGCAGTGACTCAGCAGCTCAGCTCACCCTGCTCCCCTCTCGCAGCAGTGACCTCCAA